AACCTTAAGTTTTCATTCTCTTTTCAGGTAACAGAAGAAAACTCTTAAATCTATTGACTAAATTTTGCCTTAAGCATTTTCACTTTTCTTTTTAGTACTTCCACTTATATGCCAGAATATCAGTTGAGTTGCTGAATGAATCCTTTTGATATAATCTTTTATCTCCACATATCAGTGGCTTCCTCTCTTTTACTTTTGTCATATTTATCCTTTGTTTTAAGTTGAGGTAACATTAGTTCATAACACTATATAGGGTTCAGAGCTATAGGCTCACACCTCTTTAAATATATATTACCAGATCACATGCAACACCAAGAAACCTACAGTTCACCAGGATTCTTCCAGCCCCTCCTTACTTTGCTCCTCTCTTGTTCTTCCTCTGCTGTCCTCAGTTCTATAGTCAGGTTTCTCAGGCTTCATATTGATTTGGTTTTGTCTGATGCCTTTTTTTTTTCCCCCTCTATATCTCAATTGAATCGAATTTGTCTTTCTTCTTACTTAGTTTATCAATGATGCTGCACATTGCATCTGTTTTGAGAATAATGTCCACTAAAAAAATACCTCAGATATTATTTATAGGTAAGCTCATATAAAGAAAATTATTTTAAGGAGTGAAGAGACAGGTTTTCAAGAACATTTTATCAACTGGCTTGAGGTCACCACTTTTCCTAGCCCATGTTTATTAAATAATATTCATTGATCTTGAGATCTGGATAAATTGCCAATTCACTTGGAATCTGTTTACTAGATACCACTGTGGGTCATTTTGGCTAACACTTTTTCCAGCTCAGCTACTAAGGAGAAATCTTAGTCTACAGTATTGACTTGTTGCATCATTTTCAAATTGAGGACTCATACTCTAGCTTTTCATTCTAATTTAAAATATCCCCTATAGGTAATACACAATATGTGTTTTTGATGCTCTCAAACCAAGATAATTTTTAACTTTGGTTAATAGACTAATAGTAACTTTGGTTACTAGATTAATATTACTATTAATCCCATAAATCAGTGATTCACCACCTAAAGTGGACTTTCAGCTTATATATCATCATTTAGGGGGGAAAATAATGACCATATTAAAGGAGTTAAAACAATATCACTTAAAGTATTATTTCCTAAAGATTTCATTACCATTGTGTTTCATAGATCAAGATACTAATAAAATGCTCAGTGATCTAATTTCAAATGGAACTAACTGCTGATAGTTCTTTATAAAGGCTTCAACTCTTCAAAAGACATGATCAAAGAAAGGTCTTACCGAGTGTGACAGAAATGGTTAGGTGAAATTTGATGTCATTGTCCCATAAAATAAATGAAACTTTAATAGTGCAGAGAATTTAAAGATAAGATCACACATTCCAAATGATTGAAACTTCTAATTTTATGATACTATCAAATTGTTTAGTACAGGAAAAAAATATTAACTAAATGTTACAATAGTAGAACCATTTAGAGATATACCTCTAATAAATATAAGGAAATTCTATATTGCATAATAAAATAATTTATAAAAATATTTAACTCTCAAGATTAAAGTACTCTGAAAATATGGGCAGGATAAAATAGTTTAGATATATTAATGGATGGTGAGTTTAAAGATAAGAAATTGACACATGATAGTGTGATGGACATAGTCTGATGAACTGCATTCTAAAAACCTTTATTTATTAAAGATATCTATAACTTTTAGCAAGTTTTATTTTTCTGAGTTTTGATTTTCTTAGTACATTTTTTGGAAGATGCTGTCAAATCATTTCACCTTTTTTTTGGGTTTTATTTTTCAATTCATATTTTTATTGTAACACTCGAATCTCAGTATATGATTTAATGCAATGGATTCATACCTTCTCACATGTATGTCACCACCAAAATACCTACCGTTCTTAAATATATATCATAGGGGCCCTTCCCCACTTTGTTCCCACACCTGCCTTTTCCTTCTAGTAGCCTCAATTCTGTGGTCATATTTCTAGATTTGTTTTGGTTTAGTTTGTCTGTTCCTTTGCTTTGTTATGTGTGTGTGTGTGTGTGTGTATTCGATGCTTGACTGAAATCATCCAGTATTTGTCTTTCTCCTTCTGACATTTTTAAAAAAAAATATTTATTTATTCATACAGAACTGGGGTACAGGCCAGAGGTACAGGGGCGGTGAAAGGATTCACCAGAGACAGAGATGGGAGCAGAACAGGCTGACTGATGAAGTACACTGATGAGGGAACAAGCAGGTGGGTCAGAAGAGATCATCTGTGCCATGTGGTCACCTCTGGGGCCAGGGATGGAACTTGTACTGAAGTGATTTTAGCTTCTTAGTGCTGTGCTTTCACCTGCTGCACCACCAGGGAGGGCCCTCCTTATTTCTTTGTATAATTAGCATAATCTCCTTGAGACCCATCCATGTTGTTGCAGAAGGCAAGAGTTCATATTTTTTTTATAAATTAGTTGTTTTTTTGTTTTTTTCCCCAATTGTACACTTTTACCATCTCAATCCACATGTTTGTTCTTGGGCACTTATGCTGCTTTCATAACTTGATTGCTTTTGATTGTGGTGAAATGAAGATAGGAATCTACATATGCCTTTTCAATTACTATTTTTCCATTCTCTGAGTAGATATCTAGGAAGTGAACTGCTGGGTCATAGGGTATAACTTTTTTTTTTTTTTTAATTATGATAAGGGGGTCCTCCCTGTTGGCGCAGCAGGTTAAAGCGCAGCACTGAGAAGCTTAAGCTACTTCCGCATGAGTTTGGTCCCCGCCTTCCAGGGAGGTGACCGCATGGCGTGGCGGACCTCTCCTGGCCCGCCTGCTACTCCCCTTAGCAGTGTATTTCGTCGATCTGCCTGTTCTGCTCCCCACTCTGTC